CCGAATGCGATAAACACAAATTCCTCGCCCTCGTGCGATTTCCAACCAAACACCTTTTGTCAAGAACATTGTTTAGTCCTTTCTTCCGCGCATAACAAATTCGTGCTTCAACCTCCCCTAGCGAGCAGACAAGCCAACGTTTAGCAGTTAGAATGCGACCTAAACACTCGTTCGTTTACCAACCCTTTTACCGTAGTCCCACGAACTACGAATGCTCTGATTTTCCACTTCTTACAAGTGAAGATACGTAGGCACAAGGGCCCCAATCCTTGGCGAGCATCCTATCTATAAACCACCCATTTCCCCCTTATAGGAGAAACTTTAGAAGAAAACAATTAAGCATAGTTAACTTTACTCTCGAATCGATCAAGAGGTTCCCGTTGAGTACAACGGACGTAGAGGGTGCTAATACCTTCCCTCTGCGTAATCGACTCCCGAACCTAGAATATTGGTTGCGATGACCATGTTCTTATCTCCTTAAAGGTTTTATCGATATTTTCCTATTCCATCCTTGGAATGAATAAAGTTCGGTGGCGACTCTGTTTCAAACAGTATTTTCCGCGGCCATCGCGAGGATCGTATTTTTCGAGGTACGACAGTATGGCCAAAGCCACGTAGAATTTGGAGTCTCGACGCAAGCCTTGCTCCATCGGGTAACGTTTCATCTCGTCTGATGTCGTTACCTGCACTGCCTCCTGAGTGAACCTTTCGATGTATTTCCGGAGGGGTTCGTCGGGGACCTGGATTATGGCGCCCAGCGCAACCTCTGTCTTCGGGTGACGCCGGGATGCTGTGAAGTGTCTTGAAAAGAGGTCCTTCAGGACCCTCCAAGACGTGATGGATTTCGGCTCCAGACTTTTGTACCACGCCACGGCACCCTTCCTCAGCGTCGTCGGGAAGAGTCTACACTTGATAGCTCCTCGGACATTTCGGTAATCGAGCATGGCCTCGATATCCTCCAGGTGGTCGTCTGGGTCAGAGGTACCGTTATACGTCGAGAGTGCTAGGGGCTTCTCCATTCCGTGGGGGATGGGAGCCGCCATGATCTCCCGAGATAAGGGGTCTTGTAGTCGTCCTCGTCACTGAGAATTGGCGACTGAGGGGGTGATGGCCCTTGTGGCGGAGGAGCTTGATTTCGTACCCTCGGTTTCCTGACCGGGGGTTCGACTCGCGGTGGCCTGGCTGGGGGATCCACCCTGGTCGTCCGGACTCGTCTTGCTCTCCTGGGTGACCTGGTTCGCTCCCTCACGGCCGTGGGTTGGGGCCTTTCGAGCTGAGGTCGACGATTTTTGGGACGAGGGGAGGGGCTCCTCGAGTTTCCGTTTTGGTCTTCCCGCGGAGGGGACCTCAACGGGGCTTCGTGCTCTAGTGCGCCAATCTGTGCGTTCTGTTGAAATAGCAGCTGATTTGTTTGGTTGATGACCGCGAAGAGGGCGGCCACCGTTGGATCTGCTCCGGTCGGGATGGGGATGGGCTGGAACTCTGTTGGGCTCCTCGGTCGAAGAACAGTCTGGTGTGCAGCTTCGTCGGACGAGGGAGAGGCAGTCTGGCCGTCCCTCTCGTCGGTCTCCGGAGGTTGGGATGCCCCCGTTTGCTTGCCACCGTTCGCGGCGGGACTGTGGATGAGGTCGTGAACGGCATCGTCGTGGCGTGGGCTAGACATGATCGTGAAATGTTGATGAAACTTTGGTTCTCTGCTCGGAGGAACGGGGAAGTTTTATGTTCCCACAGACGGCGGCACTGATCTGACCTGATCAGAAGGGGACCACTGACTTGCCACACGCTGTTGATCTGCTGCCTGTTCACCAGTGTTGAGAAGGAGATGGGGGTGTACCTGCAAGACACTCTGATGCCAAAGTAAGAGTTTGGGCAGAGTGACTGCAAATACAGAAAAGGGGTAAGAAGAGAATACCTGATCCTCTTGTGAAAGAGGGTATTTATAGAGAGACCCCAGTGCAGGGCCAACAGTCATTTGAGTTGGGCTGAATGGCCAGGCCCAACCCAAGTGACTGTTAGGGCTTACGTGGCGTAGTGAAGACCAGAACGTGATCTTCGCCCTAGTTCAACTGTCCCGTGATCTCTGGAAAGTGGGTTTGACCTGCTCTTTCGGAGGTGGGCAGTTGGTTGGTGACATGTCCCCGCGGAGGGGAGCAAGTGGAGAACGTGCGAAGGACACGTTGTTCTGCTCGACAGGGGAGAAGGTTCTGCCCGCGAAAGAGAGAATATTCTGCCCGACGAGAACCGTATGCTCGACGGATATAGGTCAAGTCAAGTTGAGTCTGCCGGAGCCCAGGCCAAAACATTATTATTTTATTATTTGCGTTTAAAATGTCTCCCTGACAAATGTTGAACCCATGACATGATGTATGAGGTGCCCATTCCATTGAACTAATTACTTCATTTGTTTAATTGTTTGCATCAAATATATATTAAGAGTATATATATTAGCGTAACATTATAACCCTATAACACTATAATATATTATTGTAACATTAAAACACTTTAATTTTTTTTCAGTTTAATAATGATATTATTTAATTTGTACCATCGGTTAATATTAATTTTAATTTTTTAATATTAATTAAAATATTAATATTATAGACTAAAGTTAAATATATATTTGATGCAAACAATTAAATAGTTTTATTACATAAAGCTGAATAAAAATATTTTTAATTTATAATATTAGTAAATTAATATATATTAAAAGTAATATATATATATATATATATATATATATATATATATATATATATATATATATATATATATATATATATATATATATATATATATATATATATATATATATATATATATATATATATATATATATATATATATATATATATATATATATATATATATATATATATATATATATATATATATATATATATATATATATATATATATATATATATATATATATATATATATATATATATATATATATATATCTTCAAATTAATAACGTCTTATAATTGATATTTTTAAATATATTTTAACATTTAATAATTAATATTTTATTATTAATGTATTATAATATTAATGTTTTATTATTAATATTTTATGATATCATTTTATAATATTAAACCAATATATTTAACATTAAATGGAAAAAATTAAACAAATATATTAAATATTAACTATATATTTTTAATAAAACATTAATATATTTAAATATATTTGTTTAATAATATATTTAAATAAATATACTATTTAATAAATATATTTATCTATATATTTAAATAAATATACCATTTAATAAATACATTTAGTTTAGTTTTTTATTAATATTAATTTAGTTAAAAGGTTAAAAAAATTTAGTTTAGTTTAGTTTAGTTTATATTAATATTAATTTATATCAAACGTTAATATTAATTTAGTTTAATTTATTGAAATTTTAATATCAATTTAGTTTACTAAAAATTATTAATAATTTAATTTATATTTACTTTTAATTTAATATTAAATATATTTTAACATTTATTATTTAAAAAAACTAAATTATTAAATATAAATATAACCATATTTTTATATAAATTAAATATAAATATTTATTAAAAATAAATTAAAATTTTAAATATAAATACAATAAATATTAAATTAAAGTTAAAGAAAGTAAATAAATAAAATAATAAATTGAAATTAAATAAAATATATAATTGAAAGTAAATAAAATAAGTAATAAATAATAAAGTGAAATTAATTTCAATTTTATTAAAATTATTATAGAATTAGAGGATTGAAATATTGTAATATATAGTAAACAAATAAAAGGAAAATATATATAAAAATATAGCAAAGGATTACACATCACATTAAAAAAATTAATTTTTTTTTAAAAACCAATAAAACAGTGTCATATTATAGATTCTGTTGACCAGATCTCCTTTAGTGTCAAAATAAAGAAATCTTAACGTAATAATGTTGAAATTTGTGTTTTTTTTTCCAAATTTGCATCAAATTTTTTTTTATAATTTTATTTAAAAAATGATGTATTTAGATATTATTATATATAAGATATATCAAATATTTAATGAATCTAAAAGAATAATTTATTGTTTATAATAGAGATCAGATGGTGGTGTATTTAATACACATTCATATCACTATTATAAGTAACAAATATTTTTTTTATATTTTTAAGTAAATGATGTATATAGACATTATTATATATCAAATATTCAATAAATTTCTTTAAAAAAATTATTTCTTATTAAATATACATTCATATCACTATTATAAGTAACAAATATCTTTTTATATTTTTAAATAAATGATGTATATAGACATTATTATATATCAAATATTCAATAAGTTTTTTTAAAAAAATTGTTTCGTATTAAATACACATTCATATCACTATTATAAGTAACAAATATTTTTTTATATTTTTAAATAAATGATGTATATAGACATTACTATATATCAAATATTCAATAAATTTCTTTTAAAAAATTGTTTCTTATAATAATAATGATGAGGTGACAACTCAAATTCAATAAAAAAATAATAAAAAAATAATAAAAAAATATCTCTCACTTTCTTAGACCTAACAATCTTGTTAGTGACACGATCTTTGTACCTATCCATCATTTCCATTGAGAAAATAGATATGCATATATATGATGTACTTGTGTCCACTAAAGCGCATTGAGTACTTTACTTATAACTTATAACGACTAATATTTCATATTCTTTCGCCAAACGTCGGCATCCTTTTCTTAATTTCATTTCAGCAACAATAAATATATCTTTAATGCATCATCCCTTGTAAAATCCGTACCCAACTCCTTTATTTCATCTACTTGTATTTAAGACCCAACCAGCTAGATAATTCATCTTTTCAAAATATATATTTTTGTGACATCAAATTTTGTGTTTGCTTTATGCATGTGACTATGCAGTAAAGCCCTTACTACCCTCCACCAACATCATTAGACATGTTTATGTTTGAATAAAGACAAAGATCTTGCATTTGGTTGGTTCTGAAAATGGGTTCTTTGATTCAGATTCTGGGTCTGTTCTATATGGTATGTTTCAGCTTTTTTGTTGTGAACACAGTGAGTGAAAGTGTGAAGAAAGGGAGTGTTGTAATTGATGGGAGTTCTGTGATTGGAAATATTGATGAGGATTTTGTCTGTGCTACTTTGGATTGGTGGCCTCCTCAAAAATGTGATTATGGTACTTGTAGTTGGGGTCTTGCTTCTCTTCTCAATCTGGTATATTCTTTTTCTTTTTTGGTTCTAATTTGTCTTGAAAGGGTTTTAAAATGTTTGCTTATTTGTTTAATGATGTTTTTCTTTGGGTTTTGGGAATGATGTTTGAATTTTGAATGTATGTTGGAGATCTCATATAGCTAATCTGCAAATAAAAAATGCCTAAAAAGCAACAAAGTTTTGGTTTTTTAATTAAAATTTCACTATCTAACCACTGTTTGTGGTGAACAAGTTTATAATATGCACAGCATATAACAATGACAGAACAGCATATTGTTGTATGTTTGGTTTCACTGTTAAAATTGATTCTTGACGCGGAGAATTAATTTTGACATGTTTGGTTGCTCTCTAATATTCTACTCGAGAGCAGCCAAACATGTCAAAACCAATTTTACAGACACCCTCATATAACATAATGATCAATTCGCTCCGAATCAATTTATTTTCACTACTTTATTAATCAATTAATTAATAGTTTTAACGGAAGAAGTTTTTCTAGGTAGGATTTGCTGTATAACATTACTTTTTTTTTCAACTCAGGATCTCAACAACAAGATATTTTTAAATGCAGTGAAAGGTGAGAGATTTTTCTTCCATATGTGCTAGTAACAATAGCGTCAATTAAGTTAAATTCTTTTATGATTGTTGCTTGAAAAACTTATCAAGGTATCATTTGCTTCCAGCCTTTACACCGTTGAAACTGAGATTAGGCGGAAGTTTGCAAGATAAGGTGATATATGGGACTGATGATTACGACCAACCATGCACTCCTTTCGTTCGAAACGAATCGGAAATGTTTGGGTTCACACAAGGGTGCCTCCCGATGCCAAGATGGGATGAGCTTAATGATTTCTTCCAGAAAGCAGGGTAAATTTCAGTTCTCTGTGTAGTATGTAGGCGCGCATGTGTGTGTGTTTTGGGACTAATGGATTCATCTTGTGGATTTGTAAACTATGATTTTGAGAGTTAACATTGTTAAACTGTTTATTTTAGGGCTAAGATTGTGTTTGGATTGAATGCTCTTAATGGAAAGTCGATCCGTTCTGGCTCCGCAATAGGTCCTTGGAACTACACCAATGCCGAATCGTTTATTAAATACACGGTTGGAAAGAACTATGACATTCGTGGATGGGAACTTGGTAAGTAATATACATGACCACTTATATATGATATGAATTTTGAATAAAAGATTTCTTGTTTGAGGCTTGAGTACATTGAGTGAGCTCTTTTACTCGCAGGCAATGAATTGAGCGGGAGTGGTGTTGGAACACGTATATCTGCAGACCAATATGCTTCTGATTTTGCTTCTTTAAGCGACATTGTTCAAAATGCATATAAAGACGTTGAGCCTAAGCCGTTAGTCATTGCTCCTGGAGGTTTCTTTGATGCAACATGGTTCAAGGAGTTTATAACCAAATCTGGCAACTCTTTGGATGTCGTCACCCACCACATTTATAACCTTGGACCAGGTAGCTTTCACCAAAATCAAGAATAACGAGTTTACGCTCTGAAAGTACGTATCGATTAAATCCTTGATTATATCTGATAACTTAATTTATCTTCTATTCAGGAGTTGATACACACCTTGTGGAAAGAATTCTGAATCCTTCATATCTTGACGGAGAGAAAAGTACATTCAAAGCCCTGAAAGATGTACTTGGAAGTACAGCAACTTCAGCAACATCGTGGGTTGGTGAGTCGGGAGGGGCTTATAACAGTGGCCATCATCTTGTATCCGATGCATTTGTGTATAGTTTTTGGTTAGTGCTGACTATTCTTTATCCTGATCCTTGATTTAGATACATTTAGTCGTACCTAAGAATTTGTAGGCACCAACACTTCAGATTGAAGGTGTATCTGGTGTTTGATGCTGACACCTGACACATGTGGTTACATTCAATTACTTTTCTTTTTTTTTTCTTCAAAATATTATTGTTGTCGACATGTCAGTGTTGTGTCTAGTGTATGTGCTTCATAGTTTAGAACTATTTTTGGCTAATGTTATTGTATCATAAACAGGTATTTGGATCAACTCGGCATGTCTGCATCATACGACACTAAAGCATATTGCAGACAGAGTTTGATAGGAGGAAACTATGGTTTACTCAATACTACCAATTTCCATCCAAATCCAGACTATTATAGGTATTAAATGTTGAATTTTAGATACTTATTTCAAGTGGATCCGAATAACTTTAATGGTAACATTTTCATTGGTAATGAGATGAAAATTTCTTATTTTGCAGTGCTCTTCTTTGGCACCGACTCATGGGAAGACGCGTACTATCAACTACCTTCTCAGGAACAAACAAGATACGAGCTTATGCACACTGCGCAAAGCAATCCGTGAGTGAAATTTTTATCATTATGATTATCAAGTTGATGTATACCAACCTATGTAGTACAAACACTTGTCTGACACGTGTTGAACACTGACATATGTGTTGTGTTCGGTGTCAGTGTTTTATAGATACTAACCTTGAAATCTAATTTAATATACTTATCTTACAGAAAGGAATCACCATACTATTGATCAACCTAGACAACAGCACAACAATTGAAGCAACATTTGGCAACACTAACAATTTGAGGTACAGAAAGATGTCTTATAGTTCAAAAATAATGAAACAACCTCTTGCCAGCGCAAGCGAAACAGCAAGAGAAGAATACCATCTAACTGCACAAAATGGAAATTTACATAGCCAAATCATGTTACTGAATGGAAATGTTTTAGCTGTAAATTCAGATGGTGAAATCCCTCCTTTGGAGCCAATATTTGTAAACTCATCAAAGCCAATAAGGGTTGCTCCTTTCTCCATTGTATTTTCTCATATACCTGATGCTGTTCTTTCGGCTTGTGGCTAGTGATGTTGCGCTAGACGAAACCGAAAGTTGGTGTCATTTGGTGATTGAACAAATTCATATTGTTTTGCAATTTATTTTCATGAATTGAGTGCCATTTTTATGATCTTACTATGATTGCCAAAGCAATTAGTTTTGAATGATTTTAAGGAACATCTCCTACTGTAAAATCACATGTCTATCAATTTTGACTTAATTATTTATTTTTCAGTGTAAGAAGTGTTAACAAAGGTTATTAGACAAGATCTATAATAGATTATATAAATTAGAGATTTTAAATTACCAAACTGCCCTTACATAATAATATAATTATTATCTAACTTTTTCCCTCAAACTCACCATGCATTAATAGAGAGTATCTAGAGTTTGTCGTTCAGTAAAAGAAAATGTTTATTAGAATATGTCTCCGTGAACAAATTAACAATTTGCAACGGGGAAGAAATAAATGAAACGACCGAGTAATGGAGAATTGGAATGACAGTTTTGTTATCATATATAAAAATTGGTTCAGAAAGAGGAATAATAGTATATTATAATTAAGATATTTTAGTAGTTGTGAATGTATAGCACCAGATTCAATTTTTGTAAGAGCAAGAGACGATCTCGTGTTTTTTTATTTTTTCAAGAGATAAGAAAATCTTCAAGAAAGATGTAAAACTCTGAGGTAGACCATACTCACTAGGATCACTATAACACTAGGTTTTTATTATTTTATTTTCATTGAGTTTAAAATGTTTTATTATTTTATTTGAGTGATATATTTAGCTTATTGGTATTATTAAGGTTAAGTAGAATTTTATTAAAATTATTTTTAATTTTAATTATTTAAATAATAGAAATATTGAGAAAATAAGTTTTGGAGAGAAAATTAGAGTTTTTATTAAAAATACGAAAAATGGTGGAATTAGTGAGGATTGAGGAGAGTTAAATAATTAATAAATTAGTAGGTTTTATTTAAATGGAGAGGAGAATTAGAGTTGAGGTTGTTTTTTGAAGAAAAGTTGTCAGTAGAGTCTGAGAGAGCTCTAGCAAAGCAAGAGATAAGAGAAGGGAGAGATTACATTGTTGTAACTTCAACTTTGTAACGAATTCGAGGTAGGGAGAAAATTGTTCATGGTATGGATGTTTAGGGCATAAAGAATAGAGAGGATTTCTTATCCTCGTTCCCTTTTCTTTCAATTTGTCTTGCATTGATGAAATTGTTGAATCTTGAGATGGTTGGTGCAAAACCTTTCTAGATTGTTATGATATGAAGGTGAGAAAAATACACAAGAAGGGGGTTGGATTGTGTATGTTAAATCCATTTTACTTTTGAATATCAACTTCAGAATCTGAACAAGTTCAGAGTCTGATCTCAGAGTCAATAGCATCAGAAAGAATAGAGTTCAGAAGCAATAAACAAATCAAAATACAGAGTTTATTCTAGTTCCTCTCCTAAAATGAGAGTAGTTCAATCCCCTTACCCCACAAGAGATTTTCATTATAATCAAACTGATTAAACTTTGCTCAAGCAAACTAGCAAGAGACTTCAACTGCTCAACCATACTAGAAAGAGACTTCTGCTTAAGCAATCCAGCAAGATACTTCTACTCAAGCACACAGACAAGAGACTTTCACTTCTCAATCACACTAGAGAGAGACTTCCGCTCAAGAAATCCAGTAAGAGACTTATGCTCAAGCACATAGGAAAGAGACTTCTATTGCTTAATCACACTAGAAAGAGACTTCCACTCAAGCAACCTAGCAAGTGACTTCTTCTACTTTAAATAAAAAATTTAGTAGAAAATATAATAATTATATTTGATGTTCAATCAGAAGTATAGAAGTAATACAAAAACCACAAAGGTTCTTTAAATCTTAAGATTTATAAGATAAACAAAGATAAGAAATCTTAAGAACTTATGCAATAAACAGTTAAAAAACTTTAGCTCAAAGTTATGCTCAATATTGTTATGTTGTAGTGTTCTATTCTTTGAAATCTTCAAATCCCTTTTATAGAGGTGGAAAAAGAGTTGTTGAAGGTGACTTGCATAATATTTCTTTGTTGAGAAGCAGCCCAAGAGAGACGTTAGAGGATGCATCTAGTTAAGATCATTATCTATTGAGTAATAACATTGTACATAACGTCTTTCTGATACTAGGTATCTACCAAAAGGTTGGGACTGACTTAAGATGTCATATAATCATTCCTTGAGCCTTGCACGACGAAACTCTAATTGACTTTTTCCATAATATGATGTTTGACAAGGCTAGTCTGCTTTTGAGACAGAGTACTAATCAGAAGCTGATCACCTTTAACTGAGGTCTTCAGAGTCTAAGCTGTAATTAGAGGTTGGGATGCCATGATCATATTCTGATCCTTCAGAAGCTCATATATCACATTCAGAGTCATCAGATTCCAATCCTTCAGAATCTGAGTCTTTTAGCTTCTCTATACATGCTTTCATCAAGGTTAATTATGAGTATAATTTTAAGCTTATGATCCTGTATATTTGAACATATGTTAGTATACCCAATTATTCTTTAAGTACTTTGTTATCATCAAAACCTAAGGGATATGAACAATTTTACTCCAACATGATATAATATAAATTTCGTGTTGTATTGGTAACTGATTTTCATAGGAAATTGTATATACAATTCTGAGTTTTGAGGTTTATGAATATATGCTTTGATTTGATGAACACGATGATGATTTTATTGCTAACTGATGATATAGATGATTAATCTTTGTGTTATTGATGTGTTAAATGTTATATGATTTATGTATGATGATTTGGTATACGTATGGGGTTATCTGGAATTGAAATTGGAGGTATATGTTAAAGAAAATTTGGTTTAGGAGTGAAATTCTCATGAAAATTTAGCAGAAAAATGGTGCAGTCGGGTTTGATTCGAATAAGTATTTCAACATGATTGAAATCATAAGTTAGAATATAGCAGAAAACGCTTCTGCCCTATTTGATTCAAATCACAATTTCAAGATGATTCGAATCAGAGGTTGAATTTTAGAAGAAAAAAACGCTTTTGACTTATTTGATTCGAATAAGAAAAACAATATGATTTGAATCAAAAGAGGTTAATTTTGTTTGGATATTATTTCTATTATAACTTGAGTTTCGTGACTCCGATTGAGACACCGTTAAAAGCATTGGAAAACTAACGCATAAGACTATCTTATGGTGATGTCCCAAGATGTTTTAAATGTGTGAATGGAGTCATTTGACTTGATTTTTTGTGAATGGTTTTGACTCTGCCAACTGTTTGATGTTGTTCGATGAGTGTTGAGGAGAAAAACATTTATTTTAATTATAATGATGAGTATCAATGAGTATTTAATTATTATGTTGAGTTATAGTAAAAGTGTTGAGTTATGCTGAGATGTTTGGTTCAGAGAGGAACCATTGTTGTAGCATTGTATTGGCAATGTTCAATGATGCAACCACAAGTCCAGAGGTTCTAAGGATCCGAGTGTTGCATCCATATTCTGATTGCTTTCATCTTTCATTTCCAGATTTTTGTTCTTGTTATTGAAATTGAGCCAAGGATTTATGAATTTTAAGGTATTTGGGGGAGGACCAGCTGGAGGGAGCATGACTTGGGAGCGTGATGGTCAGATGAGGGAGTCGTATCCGACTTTGTTTCCTTAAGGTAATTTTCGAGGGCGAAAATTCTTTTAACTAGGGGAGAGTTGTAACACCCCAAATTTATTGGAATATTAATTTAATTTATTTAAATATGAATATTCGTATTTTTGGTGATTTTCGGTGGTTGGTGTGAATATTGAAAATTATGGGTTTTAAATTATTTATTTAAATAATAGTATCTAATATGAATATATTGGTATTATTATTAATTTAAATAAATATAAGTGAATTTAGGGCAAAGTGGACTTTTGAGGAGGAGTTAGTGAGAGTGAAATTGGAAAGCCCATTTTAAGGTCCAAAGTTAGGTTTAACAAAAAGGAATTTTGAGGGAATTATGATTCATTCTTGTTAGACCGTGAAAAGAGAAGAAATAGAGGTCAGAGCTCTGAGGAAGAGGATTGAGGCAAAGCTTCGCGAGGTTTCCAAGAATCAAGGAGAAAGGCTTAGAGTCGGCAATTAAGGTATGAGAGTATTACCTTCATTATTTTCAATATATGATTCAATGTTTAAAGCCGATTTAAGGATTTAGGAGGTTTTTGAGTTTGAGGAAATTAGGCCTTCGTGGCCAAACCTGTTTTTGAGGTTGTTTAAGTATGGAGAGTATTGCCTTCATTGTTTTCAATATATGATTCAATGTATTTAAAGCCGATTTAAGAATTTATGAGGTTTTTAAGTTTGAGGAAATTATGCCTTCGTGGCCAAACCTGTTTTTGAGGTTGTTTAAGTATGAGGAGTATTATCTTCATTATTTTCAGTATATGATTCAATGTATTTAAAGTTGATTTAAGGATTTAGGAGGTTTTTGAGTTTGAGGAAATTAGCCTTCGTGGCCAAATCTATTTTTGAGGTCATTTAAGTATGGGGGGTATTACCTTCATTATTTTCAATATATGATTCAATGTATTTAAAGTCGATTTAAGGATTTAGGAGATTTTTGAGTTTGAGGAAATTAGGCCTTCGTGGTCAAATTTGTTTTTGAGGTTGTTTAACCCTATATGGTAAGTGATTGTGAGAACTATGATGACCTTGGGGTATTTGTAAGAATTTATGGGAATTGGAGTTGTTAAATAGGATACGGGATTGGCCTAACAAGTCATAGATTTTGTGCCTTTATCGTCGTAATATCGTAGGAATGATTTGAGAATGTTTTTGGGCGTTGGGGAAGAAATTCGTATAGACTTTTGGCCTGATTTTGCTACTGTTATATAGCAGCGATTGGCTGTAATCGCAGTATCGCAAGTTTGCAAAGCGAATAATTCTTCGCAAGGCGAACATTCGCCCAGACTCGCATGGCGAATTGTCTAGTGAACATAGCAGAGTTTCGCGAATTGTGTTCTTGTGTAGTGTTGTCTTGAT